GCCCCTGCAAGTCAAACGGAACTTCCCTATCAGGGATCATTACCCTGACATTTTCATTCTTTTTGATGTGCTGTTGTTACATTTGCATGTTTGTTCACTACTTTTTTTAAAAAAGATTTTATTGGGGAATTGGGGAAGGGGACCAGCCAAGATGTTGTTCTTCAGTCTTCATTGTGGAGGGCGCCAGTTGCCATCTGGCTTCCTGTTCGCAGCTTGTGGCCTCTAAGCTCTAGGTGCTGTGTTCAATCTTAGTTGCGGGTGGGCGTAGCCACCATACCATGGGGGAGTCGAACCAGCAGCCTTATTGTTAAGAGCGCTTGCTCTATCCACTGAGCCATCTGGGCGGCAGCTCAGCTCAAGGTGGTGAGTTCAGTCTTAGTTGCGGGTGGGCGTAGCCCACCATCGAACAGGCAATCTTGCTGTTACACCAGCTGAGCCATCCTGCTACCTGTTGGCAGCTCAGAGACAGCTCAGCTTGGGCACAGTGTCACTGGTCCACATGGAAATTGAACGGGGAGCCCTGTTGCTCAGAGCTGGCGTTCTTAAGACAACTCTTAAGCAACTGAGCCACTTGGCCAGCCCTGAGCTATATTTTCTATACTTTGTAATCTGAAAACAACCGGTAATGTTTCCTTTTTTGAGTGTGAAACTATTGAATATGTGTTTTCAACTCTATTACCCCATCTCCCTATTCCCCGAAAGTTTGAGTCTCCCTTCCCATTTTGAAATTACTGCTTTCCATTCACCCTGTGTAGGTAATTTTATTTACTTGGATCTGTGCAGAGTACAATTTTGTATCCCAGACCTCTTTCTGAGTTTAAGACCTGTCTGATCAACTATTTGTTGTACATCTCCACCTGGATAACCCATCGGTATTCTAAAATTCAGTATGCCCCAAAGTGAACTTGTTATCCTTCTCCTCCAAACCAAATCTTCCTGTTATCTGACTGAGAAATAGGAATAATACCAACTTCCATAAAACTATTCTCGTTGATTACTTAACAGATCTTTGATCTCTTACTGTTTTTCATGTCCCTCACCTTTGCTTTCCTGGTGTCCTGCTGTATAGTTCATGCCTTCATACACCTCTACTTTGGATTTTTGTAATATTTCCCTAATTTGAGTCCTTGCCTTCTATCTCCATTCTATTTTCCACACCACCATGATTTTTCTAAACTGTATAATCTGTTAATATGCTTCTTTTGCTTAAAACCCTTCAGTGATTCCAAATGGTGTTATACAGTAGTTTTTAGCCTGTTTTGCATCATGATCTAATTTGTGAACCTAGTGAAAGAAATGGAATGTTTTTCTCACTAGGAAAAAAATGCTTGTGTAGACAGAACTTGCATACAGTTTTAAGGGGTTCGTTCATGGACATGGTTAAAATAATTCCTGGCTTACAGGATAAAAACCAAGCCCCTTATCATCCCATAGCATACAAGGAACACCAAATGCTGACTTCCGCTTACTCCTGCTGAGCCCCATCCCCTTCATAGCTTATGAGTTAGCCATGTCAAATTCCTTAATTTTTGTGTTGTTCCATTCTTTTTCAAAATGCTTCTGTGCCTTTCCCCGATCTTCTTTACATCTAAAATTTATCCCTGCCCCATTGCTCAGCTGGCTCAATTAGTGAATAGCCGTTCACGTTCCAAGATTGGCTCAGGTTTTACTTTATAAAGCCTTTGTTGATTTTCACGTTCCAAGATTGGCTCAGGTTTTACTTTATAAAGCCTTTGTTGATTTCCACTTCCTTTTTCCCTTTCCTAGAGAGACTTGCCTATTTCGTCTTTTGGCTGGCCCTCTCCTACTCTGTGGATACTGACTTGATCATATTGGGTTGTCAGGAAAGTCATGACATATTTTTTCTATGTTTTTCGTTGCAAAAATGCGTCATGACTTTTCTGACAACCCAATAGTACTTTATTGTTCTTATTTGTTTAGTTATTTTCGTTTTCCTCTACTTAGTTGAACAATCCTGAGGGCAGGTGATTTCTCTTAGTTGTGTTTGTGCCTAATACCTACAGAGTACCTTGTATCTTAAGACGTGTGTTTAGTGAACACAAAAAAATTATCAGAAGACATTGTCTTCTCTTTTTTATTTTTAGGTTTTATTGAGGAATCGGGGAAGGGGAACAGACAAGTTGCTGTCCTTTAGTTCTTCAGTCTAGCTGTGGAGGACATCGCTTCACTGGCCCATGTTGGTATTATTATTGCGCTCTTCCCGGCTGAGGCAGTCACTCGCCGGCCATTGGACGGCCGCTCACGGCAGGTCACGCTGGCTGTCGGCTGCTGACAGCAGCTCATGCTGGCTGCTGGCCATTCACAGTAGCTCACGGGAGCCCTCTGCAGCCTGGCCATTCACAGTAGCTCACGGCAGCCCAGCTCCAGGTTGAGCTGTTGTTCACCATCTTAGCTGTAGAGGGCGCAGCATCACTGGCCCTCATGTGGGATCCGAACCGGGGCCCTGCTGCTCAGAGCTGGCGTCTCAAGCCAACTCTTAACCAGCACGCCACTCAGCTGGCCCAGTCTTCTCTTTTAATAAATGTAATTACTATGTTTGTGGTCTTTACAGAAGTAGAAGATTTTTCTAAATTATAAATTGAGTCTAGTAATCTTCTAGGAAGTAGTGTGTTATAATTGTTAGGGAACTGCCTTAGAAATTTTAAGAAAAGTAGGTTCCAGTTAGATCTTGGTTCCAAGCAACACAAAGTGTTTCTAGGTTAAGCAGAAAGGAACTTACAGCAAGGTTATTTGGGTATCTCACAGAATAGATGGGCAAGCTGGAAAATTAGCCTCTGCAAAATAGGCAGGAACCAGGGGAGACTGCTGCAGACTCAGCCAGGCTCAGGCCACAGGAATATACTAGTTAGGACACTGCTGCTGGATCTGTACCGCTGCCTCTGCTGAACTCAGACCACCGCCACCTTTCTCATGAATTAACTGTAAATGTCTTTCCAGGCTCCAAATCCAAGGTATAAGCCCTGATGTGGCTGAACCTAGATCACATATCTGTACCCTAGGTGCCCTGGCCCAGAACAGAAAAGAAAATGTCTAGCCCATTTTAGCTTTCGTAGTGGGAGATTTGTTTTCTACTAAGATTGACACTGTGGGATGCTCCACAGATAGGAAATTGGGGTCAGAGGGCAGGCAGGCAGGCAAAAGAGTAAAAAGGCGAATGTCTGTTACAGCCCTGCTGCTAATTAATACTTGGCTTATAGACCTCAGAAAACTTATTTTGCCTCTATGGGTTTCCCTTTTCTTATTTGTAAATTTGAAATACCGTCATTCACAATTAAATGGTAACAGTGTAAAAGTATGATAAAATATTTTGAGCTGTTTGAGAGTAAAGCATCCTGTAAGAACACTGTGGATGTGGCTTTTATTCCTGTGATGTAAGCTATAACACTTTTTCCCTTCCTTTGGAGTATGTATTAATAATTTTGAAGTACATTTCTGAAGTTTATGGGAACTTTTAAAGTTGAGTAGGGTAGTCCAGGCCTATTGTTTGATTTATTGGATATTTTGATATAATATGGTAGCATTGCCTCCCGGAAGATAGAAACAATAGGATCTTTTATATGTTAAACCAAGATTTCTTTTGAGAACCTAAATAAAAACTGATATTAATAACAACAATAAATACATTAAAGAAAAACAGTATTTAACCATTCAAAGCAGATTTTCATGTTATCTTTCTTTTTATTTCTTTATAAGCCACTCTTTTGTGTATTTCAAGCTCTGCATGTATTTTTTTCATTGTTTATTGTTTTAGGACATTTCTCTTAGTTTGCTTATTACAGATCTTAAATTTTGCCAACATTGCCTGTCTCTCCTTCCTGTTATTACTTATCTGAACCTCTTTTTCTTTTACTGGGTATGTCTTGAGCAGTCCATATTATTTTTTGGTTTTATTTATTTATTTATTTTTTTAGCTGAGCCATCCTGCCACCTGTTGGCAGCTCAGCGGCAGCTCAACTTGGACCAGGCATTGAACTGCTGTTGCTCAGAGCTCAAATTCTTGAGCGAGCTCTTAACCAACTGAACCAATCGGCCGGCCCCCCATATTGTTTTAAGTAAAAAACAAAGTTATTTGGAAACCTCTTAATAAGACATTTTGGTTGGAAACAACTATTAAGGGACATAGTAGGTGTCCAAGGAAAGATTTTCAGTTATAAAATAAGTCATAATATACAGCATGGTGACTATAGTTAATAATACTGTATTGCATATTTGCAGGTTGCTAAGAGAGTAGATCTTAAAACAAGGTACATGGTAGGTAAAACAGCTACTAAGTCTAGGTGAAGAAGTGAGAGTTATAGTTGTGTTGATTAGGGAACAAGTTAGGTTGCCGAATGAAGAGAATCAGAATAAAGGCTCTCAACTAACAGTCCAGAGACTAGTGGTCCAGGCTGGCAAGGTGGCTCTGCTCCACATGGTCATTCAGGGACCCAGGTTCCTTCTGTGTTGTTGCTTCACCATCCCCTAGTTTGTATGTCAAAGCTAGGTGTCTATCATATTCACATTTCAAACCATAGAAAGGAGGGAAGAGAAAGTCTTAGAGACCCACAAATTATAGATATAACTTTTGCTCATGTCACTGTGGCTAAAACTAATCATATGATGCATTAAGTTGCAAAGGAGACTGGGAAATACTATCTGCAGCTGTGTGGACATGGACCTAGCTGAAGTTGAGGAGGCTTTATTAGTAAAAGAAATAAGAGAACATATAACTGGGGCGGGGATGAGGTTGGGGCTTAGCTAGTGTTTTTGCCACATAAGTGAAAATGTAGAAACTAGGGGGAGAGAGGGAAATTTGCTTTTGATCTGGAATCTGAATAAATAAATTCCCACTTATGAGTAAATACAAATTACATTTTTAAGATTACTGAGAAGAAAAGTCTGAGAAATATTTATTTTTGTATTTGAATAACTGAAGTCAATGGGAAAATTTACTGGCATGTAATAAACTTCAAACTGAAAAGATACTTTTATGTTTTTAGGTTTTACACATCTCTTAGTAGACCTTTTTGGAGCTCTGCCACCCAACTCAATGGCGTCCTCTACTACTGTGCCTGTAGGATTTCACTATGAAACAAAGTATGTTGTTCTCAGCTACTTGGGACTCCTCTCTCAGGAGAAGCTGCAAGAGCAACATCTTTCCTCACCCCAAGGTATTATCTTTGGCTTATGGTGGTTATAGTAAGTAGTAATAATTCATATATAAAAGTATTTGTATCTAATTCACGTTTATGGTTTATATGATCAAGTAATACTAATCAGCTTTCGAGGAATAACCCCTCCTCCCATCCCCTGATCCATTATCAGAAGCAACTGCTTTGAATGCTTTTTAAGAGCTTGATATTTTAAATGATCACCCTTGGTACAGTTTAAAATGTATTAAGTCCATGTAAATAAACAGAAATTTATCTGTCTTTAGAGATTTTATACTTAAGATATATATTAGAATCACATTATTTTAAAATTTACAATACAATTAAGTTTCTTGAATTGCCTTTTTTTCAAGGATATTCAAATATCCTTGAATTCTTATATCGGATAGACAGCTTTTTAGCACATTTCTTTGTATTGGGAAGTTGTATATATCCTTCTTTAAATAGCTTGTCAAACAAAGCTTAAAACAGTTACTAGAGTCTGAATCAGTCTTCATTAAGATATAATATCATCATCTTAAATATTCTCATTCACAGATTTCTAATGCACCCTTGGAGGTAGTTCTTATTTACACTCTGTCATTTTGGTTTCAGAAAGGGTAGCGTTGAGAATTCAGAAATGATGGAATCCAGTGGCCAATATGATAGGAAGGATGAAGGAAGGTGTTCTAACAATGCTAATTCAATGCTTACAAATAACTAGTGGGTGTGTTCTATTTTTAAATATTGAATCATATTTTAAGTCCCTGAAAGTAGGTTGCTATCTTCAACAAAATGATATCAAAATGACTTTTAAAACTCATAAAAGAAAATGTGATACCAAATATATAATATATTATTTCATCAAACCCACACAGCAACTATTTGACTTTCTATTGTCTTCTAATCTTTATCAGTATGCACATGGTTTTTACATAGTTGTAATCAATTATTTGTGATTGTTTTCACTCAGTTTTATCTTAAACATGTTTACATGTTTCTGTATTTTATCTCCTTTATTGTACATCTAAATGTTTCCCTTTTTTTTTTTTTTTTACATCAGTAGCACTGCTATAAAATTTTTGGTTTACCATAAAAGCCATTTTACCTAGGTCACTAACATTGGTAGTAGGGCTTTAATTGTAAAAGTCAATTAAAGAGGGAATCATAAATAAAGACGTTATTTATAAGAAATTTTAATTTAAAATGTTAATAAATGTACATTTATTCAATTTTGATGTAGGGCCAAGGCGTTTTTAGAAATATGGGTCTGCTGTTTAGAATTCCATGTCATCTTTCTAGCATGAACCATATCTATTACCTATAGTTTCCGATTTATGTTTATTTAAGGTAGAGTAAAAACATAAAGACACTTATAAAATAATCTGATTAAAGAGTCATTCTAGATTTTTATGTTTTTCAACTGTAAAAACAACTGTAAAAGTTGTTTCTGTCACACCCAACCTGAAATTGTGGTTGTTTTTTAAAAGATTTTGTTGGGGAATTGGGGGAGGGGAACAGACAAGTTGCTGTCCTTTTGTTCTTCAGTCTAGTTGTGGAGGACGTTGCTTCACTGGCCCATGTTGGTATTATCA